CAGAAACAAAAATGGCAAAACCCAAACACCATTATAAAGACAGTTGTAGTTGGACATTTCAGAGTGAAATAACTTTAAGAACAGCTACCCTGAGTAATTTTTTGATATCAGACAAAGATGAATCACTTACTCTGGGATTTTCTTTCAGTTTCACAGTGGGACTGGGATTTGATTTAAAAAAGGGCTGGGAAATGGAATTTAGAGAAAATTTAGGCTGGGTAATGGGATCTAGACCCCCCCTCAGGCCCCTTCATAACCAGCTGTTTTTAAGCTGATGCGAAAAAGATTCGTGCAAGCTGAAACTCCCCCCCCCCATCATTTTTTAATAGTCCGCCACTATCACTATCCACAAGCCTGGGTTCACGCAAATTATGCGTTAATCTTCGCGAATTGCCGGCGTTATTAGGAAGCCACTCCTGACGTTTATCCACACTTAATAAAAAACGCCTGGCGCATAAATAATCTAAATTACGTTTGCTTTGTCTGATGCGCAGACATCAAGGATTTTGTAACGAAATAATCACATACTCGTTGATTAGCCAACTGTACTCCTTTATTTTGATCACGTGATATTTGAATGTTTTATTAAAGTATTCTTTTGATCCAGATCGTGTTCATATCAAGACAATAACTAGACAGGTTGAGATTTCACTACCAGTACCTTAGTACGCATCTGATTGGTTAATCAGATATATCAAACGCATCTGATTGGTTAATGGTCCCTTAATGGTAGCGCGGTAGTAGAAGTCAAACCTCTACTTTGGGGGACATGTCCCCGAGAGGGGACATTTGGCAAATTCCTAGGGGACACAAACTGGTCTAGGACTGAGAAAACAATAGTTGAATACAATAGTTTGTACCATAAACATGTTTGCTTGACTTTCTATCTATTATTTAAAATTTAAATCATTTACTATTTTACTAACTATTTCGAAATTCGTGTTTTTGATAGACTTCAGTGGGCAATTTCTGTTCAGGGGACGTGGTAATTCAATCATGTGAAATCGGGGACACATGAGAAAACCAGTTGAAAACCGTTGCTTTAAAAGCTTTACCTGTTTAGAAGTTATTAGGAATCAAACCGGAGTACTTTTTTTTGGGTTTTGGGACACCCGGTATATATATATATATATATATATATATATATATATATATATATATATATATATATATATATATATATATATATATATATATATATATATATATATATATATATATATATACATATATATGTTTTTGTTTATTGTTGTAACTGATCTATTATATATAATTAAAAAGGTGAAAAGTAAGTATACTGAATTTTCGGCCGCTGACTGCGACCTTCCTCACATTTAAAATGTCAAGTTGATTTGAACAAGCTTATAAGTACTTAGCATATGTAAATTTACAAAGTATACAACAAAGGCAAATAAGTTTGCGGGAAAATTTTACGCTCATTAACTGCCATTGTCTCCTTTATTGAGTTTAATGACTCGAGGAATATACGTTTTTTTCTAATTATGTACTCCCCTCTCTAAAATTTCTACATCCCCAGAGCATGCTTCGTGTCCAGTTCGTTCTGCATGTTCCTTTATAGCCGATTCAATTGCCTTTGTTGCATACTTTGTAAATTTACATATGCTAAATACTTACAGACCAATTGCGAAACTTAGTGACCGCGCCTTCAACTGCAAGAAGACGAGGCTTATTATGCAAAAACAAATCATTCTGCTATATTTTTATATGGCGAAAAATGAATTTCAGTGTTTGAGACGCGTTTTTATGGTAATCTCTTCATTTTTTTTCAATATTTTTGTTTTGACTATGTAAATCTTTATTAAACTTGTTCATAGATTTAGTCTTACTTCAAATTTCATTGTTTTTTTGCGGCGTGCGAGGCAAAGTTTTGCTGTTTTTCGCCGTCCGATAAAAGAAGCAGATTATACCACAGAAAGAATCAGGTATTTTCCGTCTGTTTTATTAATACTTTTCAAAGAATAAGTTGTAACATTGATTAATTTTGTTTCAGTTGTAATATGATAGCTTATTTTTCACCCTGCTCGGTTTCCTTTGTTCTTATCGGGGAATATATTCAATATTCACCTCTAATCAATTTCCGTTTAATAATCCCCTCTAATATTCACCTGCAATTAATAATCCCCTCTAATATTCACCTGCAATGTCTTTGCAGCACAAAAAATGAGAAAAAAAACAACATAACGAAGGCAATATGGCATTAAGAATTATTTCTATTCTCACTCATTAACGGGACCTCGCAGTGTGAAAAATAAGTACGGGGATATGTGTTTATTCACCTCGGCGCTGCGCGCCTCGGTGAATAAATCACATATCCCCTCGTTGCCTCAAAATAACCTATACTTAGTTTCATAATAACATGACTGAAGAAAATAAATGTTTTCGTCTTGGCAAATGAAAGGCGGCTTACGGGCTTAGGCGGGCCAAACCTCTAGAGGAGTTCCTGGGGCAAGCACCCATAGACAATTTTGTTATCTAGGCACTATAAAAGGGTATTTCCTGCAATGCGTGGGACATTCTATAGAATTCTGAAAATTATACAGTAATTACAAAATCTTCAGTATCATTTACACCATCTTCCAAACTCATAAAGAGATCTTTGACCATAAGTACGTTGCAGGGTTTATTTTAAGAAAAGTTTAGAACTGCACATATTAGGGATGTTACGAAAAATCAGGTGTTTGACTTTTGGGGGAAAGGATGTTGGACTGGGGTTTCAAAGGATTTCTATATACAGTATATTTGACGTTGTAAATTTATAGTTAACGTTGCAAATTATTATAGACTCTTAATTTGTATATAGGTGGCAGAATAAAAGTGTGGTTGGGTGGGGCCAGACAAACTCGATTCCGGGGGTGTCCCCCCAATTTTTAATTTAGAGGTTTGTAAGTTCTTGCAAAGATTTTTTCACCCAATCACCCACAAAAACTACAGTACAATGTCGATTGCAAACCTGGCTGCACAAATTTCACAACGTGCATTTATACCTATACAGTGTGTATCAAAGTAATTCGAATCCAAATTTGACAGACTGCTGTTTATAAAATACTAAAGTAAACCATATAATTTTTATATGGCAATAAAGAATAGCCTATTAGGTTTCCGATTATATCGTTCTTATATCAATAAGATCAAAAATGACCAAGAAATCGTGTGTTAAAACTGGTTGCTCGAAATCAAATTTTTCCGCCGATGGGAATTCGAAGTGAGACGTACAAACAAAAGATAATGCAAATTTAATTAATCAACAAACTGTTATGTAGCAAAATTTACATAAATTCGTGTTCATTTAAAGAGATTTAAGCTCCTATACTGTATATGCCTTCAACATTTTGAACGAGAAGAAATTCGCGTTAAATTTGCATTTTAGTTTTCAGTGATGATTAGCATTTCAAAGCCTTGTGGGACTAACTTTGAAAGAAAAAATGTCCAATTCCCATCGGCGGAAAATTGTGATTTTTATGGACTTTTTTTGTCAAAGCAATACTCCTTCATTTACCAACTAAATGACGCGTACAGCATGTCATTTGAAAGGTAAATAAATGAACTTAACAATGGTGTAAAAACCAACCGAATTTGTCAAATATATTCTGCGTTATTACACGCCAAATTTGGATTCGAATTATTTTGATACACACTGTATAACTGATATAAGCATTAAATATATCTAGATAAATTATAATATTAAATTTTTCCTTATCTAGTGTAAGTCTGTTAACTCTATATAGCTAGCTAGCTGTAGTACACTAAGATAGTTTCTTTGTTTCACGTTTTAACATGTTTCTATAGCGTTTATGCCTCTTGTGTTGTTGTCAAGTTGTTGTCTATAATAAGTTCCATAACAGATACACCAGCTTGACAGAAGATTGAGTTTTTTTAAGAAATCAGTTTTTGGCCCAGGTAGTAAGAAATTGACTTTTCTTCTCAAATCATAATTACAACGGTATTTTTCTAAATAAGAATAAAGAGGGATAGTCAAGTGATCGTAATAACATTTATAAGCAACAGGGTATAACAACCTATAAGAGAAAATATCATTTTAAGTGATTCCCAATTTACGCGAAAACGTCTACTGTTGGCGTTGGCAATCCAATTCATATGTTTGGCGGCTCGTACTTGTATTTTCTCTAATTCTCTAAAATGAACTGTCCCGCACGAGCCTTATAATTATGTAAAGCCCGGTTTCCACTAGGCGAATTTTTTCGCGCGACGCGATTTTTTTCGCGCGAACAGTTCACGCGATGAATGTTTGCAATCTCCACAGCGAGCGGCCAATAAGCGAGCGCGAACAAGCGACAAAGTAACAAAACAAGTAAGGGGCGGACCATTAGAAAAGTGATGGGGGGGGGAATAAAAATAAAATTCGAGCAGGGAAAATAGAAAGAAAAAAAATTCGTGCACCAGAAATGTCTGAAAAAAAAATTCGTGCAGAGACTTTTCATTAGGGAAAATTATAGGACCTATCGGAGGTACAGTGTAAGGGTGTTCCCTGAAATTTTGAAAATAAGCTTTTTCATCGTGTTTTAAGATGTTTTTTCGGGGAAAATGTGTTTTAAATCTAATTGAATTGATCTTAGTCCGAAAAAAATTTTTTTGACCCTATTTCTCTTTGTACTGCAAAAATTTCTGAGTCCGGAAAAATTTTTTCACCTATCTCCCCTGCTCGCCAAGAATTTTGGAAAAAAGAAAAAAAAAATCGAGCAAGGGATTATTTAAAAAATAACTGACACAGCAAAAACATTTTGAAAAAAAAAAAATCGTGCACGTTGAAAATGGACCCCCCCCCCCATCACTTTTCTAATGGTCCGCCCCTAAACAGGAAATGGCTGCCTTCAACATACAATAGTTTTTAAGGCGCAAAATACTTACTTTGTTGCTTTTAAGAAAGAGAAGGCAGCGCTTAAAATATAGGAAGAGATTCTGGGTGAGGAAAATATACGAAGAACGACAGGCGAAAAGCGAATATCACATTGTTGTGAAGGATTGATGCTTGGCGACCCAGAACACTTCTTTCGGCTCTTTAGGATGTCGCCCGGCACTTTTGAGCTGCTATTGACCTGGGTCGCTTCTTTAATAAGAAAAGTCCACCAGAATGCGAGAACCAATTCCTCCAGACGAAGGGTTCTCAGTTATACTTTGAGATATCTAGTCACGGGTGATGCTCACTATGACTTATAACGTATAATGTTGCTGAG